GCACCAAAACAGGAGACAAGTGTTTGTATTTTGAGGTAGGAACAGGGAGTGAAAAGGGGGAAAGAGCTAAAAATTATCTATGACTTCAGAGACCTGCAAAAATGACCCCTGGATTTTTTTCTGATATTTTCAAAAAGAGCAGAACTCATGCACCTGCAGGTCAGACAAATGTGTAAGACAGGGGTATGCTTTCATAAAAGCTAGGGCTGGTTATGAAAGTTTAGTTTGTTTCAATGCATTTTGGAGCCTCTCAGATTCAGGAGCAAAAGAACTAAAGAGCGAATTCAGTACCACAGCTACAGGGAGATGTTTAGGTGCAGCTCTTCAGAAATTTCCTTAGCTAACGCCTGCAAGGACAGGCGCTGCCTGTCACAGTTCTCTCCCTCTCATACTCTTCCTGTATCTAAAATTCAGCTACTCACCTCATGACAGGCAGAGAGCAGAGCCACCAAGCAGCAGCCGTAAAGTAGAAACTCTCTCACTGTATCACCTTTTTAACCCCTTCAGTGTCAGGTGCATTAATCAAACTAATCAATGAATGCTTTTCCTATAGGCAAGCTAGTTAGAGAGCTAGTTAATTGGCCTGCTTGAAAGATTTAAGGCACATGGAAGTTCTTAGCAGTTTAACAGTTTTCCAGGGACTGTTGCGAGGCAGTAGCTGCAGAGTTACTGCAATGCAGCACAGCTCGGCTCAGCTTGCAGACCACTGGCAGAGAACATTTTGCAAAAATCTCACTTTACCCTTTCACGCTGCTGCAGGGGGGAAGGAATGTAAACATCTGAGACTAAAATAAAGCTTTTTAGCAGCTTCAGTATTCTGTCTGTCCCAATCTGAAGCTGTGTCTTTCAGGACAAGTTGTCACTATTTCAACCAAAGTTCACTTTCCTTAAAAAATATATTTTATTTTAACTGACAAAATGTGATTTTTTTTTTTTTCTTAACTCCTTCCATGCTGGGCTATAGTTTACCACTGTTACCATTAAAATCAAAATATGTTCTGAATATAAACCCGGAAGTGCAAAATGTGTTTCTCTGTGTGGTATATATTCCCATTTTAATATCTACTAAATTTTTTAATAGGGCCATACTGTTCCACCCTAAGAGTATTTTCCAGGCTTAAGTTTTTATTTTGCACTGGCTTCATATTTGTACAATGTTTTAAAAGAGATCTGAGAGTTGTTAAGGTGGAAGAAAAGTTAAAATGCTTCCAAGAATATTAAATATTGGAGTGCAAAGTTAAATATAAGCAATAAGTTCCTATTCTAATTCTGTTCTAAGTAGCTTTTGGTCCTCAAATTCTCTTTAATTTAATATCAACCATTTGCAGAAGATCTGAGCTTCGCGTGAATATGAAAGGTTATCTTTCTGAAGCCTGCATGGGCTAGTTAGCGTAGACTGAATACATCCATAAACCTCCATATGAACTACATCCACAATGACTATTAAGAGATCATGATGCTTAACTTTACTTGACCTCCATTTAGACAGTACATGTGTACATAATATACAGTACACAGGTTATTTTCAATTTTTAAAATAAAAGTAATGAATCACTAAAAAAACCCAGAGTTATGGCTGCTGTTCCTAAATACATACTCTTACTGCTGAGCTCTGATTTTAAAATTTTTGTGATTTGTTTTCCTCTTGCTTTTAATAATTTTTCCATAATTTTTTCCTGGAATTTGCATTTCTGTTGAGATTTTCATAATTCTGTTTTCTATTTCTCAGAGAGATGAGAGAAATAAAGGTGGTGAGTGTAAGTGAGGAAAAAAGAGACTGAAGAGCAAAAGAACTGAGGAGTTGTTTCTTCATTTTTTATACTATCCCTTATATTTCCACTCGACTCCTTCACATGAAATCACCGCTTGTATCTTTTATTCTCCCTTTGCCCACAGTATCTGTGCTCTTTTACAGAATTTTCACCAAGATTACTTTCTTCTGAGGGACAACCACCATGGTTCAGCTGAGCATCATCACTAACCACGGGTCTGAGAGCATTTTAAAAAATGTGATGCTACTCTGTCTTATCTGAGCTCATCTCTGCCTGCGTGTATTACAGACAGGATGAGAAAACGAAGTGTCATAATACTGAGGACAAAATCTATTTGATGGCAAGCACTAGTTTTTTTTTTTGCAGGAGTTACCGTTCTCATGAGATTTGGTGCAAAGTCTCTACATATAGATGTGAGGGGAGTTCATACGAGGCTTAGATGAACTTCTGTTAGAAACAGGAGAGGGTCATTCAAACTTTGAAAGTTGTTTCTACAGTATTCACCTAATTTTCTTCCCACAGCATAGCATTATATTAGTTTTTGGAGAAATTGCCAAGACAAATGTGCTGTAAACTTTTCTTTACCGCATAAATACTAAATTATTGGAGCATACGTTTTTTCTACTCACAATTTTAATTACTAAACATCAGCTGGCTTGTAGTATAGACTGGTACTTTTATCATCATCGCTCAATACTTGAAATATCAATAGCTAAAGGTTTCATTGAAAGCTTTTGTTTGCAACATCACCTAAAGCCTGGAAATAATCTGTAAAAGATTAAAAAACATACTGGTAATATTTGTAGTGGCTGTTCTTGGATCTCCCCAAAAAACCCGAAGCTGTAGTAACAGCAGCTCAGAATTTCCAGTGTGAAAATGGAAGAATCAACTTACAGGCCTACTTTGCTTATGTACTTTATAAATTTTAGAATTGTTTTAAAGTGGGAAACCTCTGCAGGAAGCAGAGCTGTACAGTTTAAAGACTCTATTTTATGTCAGTGTTCCAACATATGTGAAAATAGGAGATACAGTAAATACAAAATCAGGTATAAATTTGAAAGAAAGGACAAAAAGAGTTCTGCAATACCTTTAGAATAAAAGAGGTATTTATCCTTTCATGGAGTGTTTGCCTTTTGCTGTGATCTATAAATCCCTAAATAATTCTCTGTGAAAGGTTACTTAAATAATTGCTTCAAAATTGTTTTATCTTTTTTTTGCTCTTAGGGATTTTTCCATAAAGAAAAATAATTTCACATCTGATTTACACAGTTTGCATTAACCAGCACCTCAGATTAAATTTAAATACTTCAGCAGTAGGATAACACATGCTGGACAATTGGTGAGTATACTGTCACTACCTTTAAAGATTCCATCATTTACTATAAATAGGCCAACTTTTGGGCCCTGTTCTTCACAAGCTTCACTCTCTTTGGTGTGTTTTGAGCTATTTAGCTGAAACAGAAAACTGGCTTTGCTTCACTAACAAGAAGTCATGTAGTCAGGACTAGTCTGCCCTCAACAGGGTTTTTGGTGAATGGAGCAATGTCAGAGGAAAAATGGAATAAATATGCAATATAATACTCGATGGATTTCATCAGCATCATTTGAATTGCATGTTCACCAAAACTGAACCTGACACAGTATAAAGCTTCTAAAATGTAGGGGAAAAGTATGTCTACCAAAAGTTCAATTAAAATGGGAAGAAGCTGTCAAACACTGTACTTTTTTGTGTATTAACAATGGCATAGAACAACTGTGAAATGCCAGTGATTGCTACAAGTGCTCAGACACCATGGTGATAATTGCAGTATAAAATCACCAGACAGCAAACAAGACTGCCGGAACTAATAGGAACATGGTTTCATTCTGAATCCAGTGTGGATAGCTATCTGTAATGGAATTGCTTTTCAATACTTTTTCTTTGAAATAACTCTGATTATCACTTAAGCATTTTCATGTTAATATGTTCCATTTATTTAAATAAAGATAGACAATTTAAATTTTGTTTGCTCTCATCTGTGCATTTCTTAGTACAGCCTAATGTATTCTGTTTGGTGACTCAAGTGAAGATAAACTAATAAATGAGTGCTTGATTCCAGATCTGAAGCACAACTGTACATTTGACTAAAATAGCAGCTGTTTTTCTCTTTGTGTGCCATCATCAGGATCCAGAGAAACAAAAGAAAATATTATATTGGATAAATTCTGGCAGTACTAATTCATTTTCCCTGAAAGAAACCTGACTGGCTGAGCATGTTAATAGAGCTATTGTTTCACCTGAGACCTACATGTGTCCTAGGCTGGGCACAATCAGGCAGAATCAACAGCTTGTGTTAACAGGTCATAGCAGGACTTGTGAACTGAGCTAGAATTGTTTACTGAAAACTGATAACACGATGCCAGCAAGTCTTCACAGATACCTGTGAATTAATCTGGCAAAACTTCCGAAGTAGCAACGACTGCAGAGGAAAATCATCTTTAGTTCCTATCAGAAAGTAATCATCTCACAAATTCCTTGAGAATCGCAGATAGTGATTTGAGTCATTGCTCATGGACAGCAAGAAGAAGTTCTGCCCTTTAATTCTGAACTCCAAATCAATCAGTGATGACTTCTTCCCACTGAAACTAGCTTAACCTCTAGAAAGCTAAATATTAGACAGCAAAATTTGGATAAGGTACATCCCACCTTAAATAACTGACATTTTGCTGAATTTCCCATTGATGCTTTTATTTAGAAAGTTGTCATTTTCCCTACTATGTACTTGTTATCCAGATGTAATTTCCCTGAAGGTACAAGGAAACTGTCATCCAAAAGTAATAGTGAGAAGCTCTATACATTCTGCAGGAAGCATTTATCTTTTCCTTTAAACAGTCAGATTAGAATTTCTGTTCTTTCTTAAACTATCTTTTGCACTACCTGTCTCCAGGAGGAGAAGATAAAATGAGCACTACCAAGAATATAATGATTAACTAAATGTTGATTATTGTCTTATTATATGCACATTTAAAGACAGCTCTTATAGTTGCATAAAATACTTCTAAAAGGCAAATCTGTGACAAAAATAAGTCTATTTCCTTTGGACAGAACTGTCACTTTAATTTTCATTCCAGATGACTGCTGACCATAGCTGGGAAACTCGCTATCTACAACAGCCTCATCCTGTTAAATGAGTGGCTTCAAAGCATTTCTCTTTTACCATATGTCTTTAAGTCTGTTATTTTACTTACCCTCCGGCTGGTATTGTGCTATGATTGTTACCGTCTGCCCAGCTCCTTTGAGCGCAGCTGCAGCCTGCTCGTGGGTAGCACCTCGAAGATCAATACCGTTCACCTATGGATGGAAGAAAAACAACAACAGGTCTGAGTAGTTCAGCATTAGACAGAAAGAAGTGGGGTTTTTCTGTAAATATCTGCCAGATGTAAAGGCAAGATAGCCCAGATGCAACAGTAAAAGTACAAAATCACAAATGTTGAGAGGATATTACCTATGACAGCCCATGAAGATATGCACTAGTACCATACACAGCATAGCTTGACTATGCTTATCCTATTTTTGGGATTTTCCTGCTCTACTGAGTTAATATTATTTGTTATCTCTTCATCAATCAATATCATTTAATATACAAGTTCAAAAGATAAATTTTCCCTGGTGCTTGAAGGGCACTGTAGAATACTACAAGCAAAGAAACTGCTCCTTCAGCCCAACTCTGCAAGCCCAGTCAGCAGCATCAGGAAAAACTGGAGAAACATAGAGCTTGTCTAACAAAATCTGCTGGTTGGAGAACTTTCACAGCAAAAAAGCCATCTACTATTTTCTGTTAATGCAAACACTCCTACTATTGCGTAGAAATATCCCCATATCTTGCACATGACAGCAATGGAGTTTTTATCAGACACAGCTTCTCCAAAACTGCCTGTTCAACATTCACAGATCTTTCCATAGGGTTCCATTTTCCTAAAAATTTTTTGCTGCGTAAGCAATGGAAGTGGAAAAAAGTAGAACAAAGTAGGTGATACACCCGTAAAACTCAGGGGTAGTTTCAGAACTCTGATCTGTATTTGTGATGTTACATGTTTTGTCAGCAGTATCCCAAGGAAAGATAGAATTCATATACAGAATTATTAACTGCTCCAATAACTTGAATCTTGCTTTCCAGTGGGAGTGTTATTGTCTAGCTATGCTGAAGTGTGTGAGATTTCCTTTATTTATTTGTTTATTTATTTATTTATGTATTTATCTGTCCATCCTCTCACTTCTACAGGTTTCCGGTTCATAATATTTTAGCAAAGAACAGGAAACTTTTGACATATAACAACCTCAGCAGGACAGAAATCCATTTCTGTTTGTTCAAAAAAAGAAAAAAAGGGCAAGGAAGGAAAGAGAACCATGCCATAGATTTAACAGGTAAACGTGTCAAAACACAAGATCCAAATTATCAGCTACAGCAACTATTTGTGTTTATCAACTACTGTCACAAGATGGCTAAGCCCATATTGAAAACATGGTGTTTATTTTATTTAAATTTTAACAACTCCTCATGGCTTAGAAAAATAAATTTGATTCCATAGAACTTTACAAATAACAGCTATGAAGTCTGTGATGAATATATTAATTTTGATCCATAACATTTAGAAACTGCTCAGTCTTATTTTGCTTCTTTTTTCAAATTTTAGAGAATGTGATGTTTTGGGAATACAATTATTATTTACCATCAAATCATAAGAGTCTTAGAGTAGTTTGGGTTCTTTAAAGGTCCTCTGCGATGAGCAGGGACATCTTCAACTAGATCATGCTGCTCACATCCCCAACCAATCTGACCTTGAATGTTTCCAGGCATGGGGGATCCACCACTACTCTGGGTAACCTGTGCCAGTGTCTCACCACCCTCTTGACCAAAAGTTTCCTGCATATTTGCATGACAAAATCTAGTCCTTACTAGTATGTGAACAATGTTTAGACCATTACTCTTAGAAAAACTGATTCGTGATAGCAATAGTATTAAGCCCAATCGATACCACAGTTTCTGACCCAGAAGACTACATGATACTGTGGAACTGTTGACTGTACTCAGAAATTCTGAGCATAAGGCAAATATAATATAATAAACATCATAATTTTTCTATACAAGAGAGTCCTCAGTTGTCCCATCTCCATGTTTGAAAGCAATGGCTGTTATAAATGGCTGGTGAAAAAAAAAAAAAAAGAAAAGAAAAAAAAAGAAAGAGACAAACGTTCAAATACTTTCATTAAAGTTGTACATATAAACCCCTGGGAAAAACTAACCGAAATTCAGCCTAGGAATGTAGCCCCTTAGAGGGCAATAATTAAGTGAATTCTAAAAGAACAAAGATGACAATCAGAACTTTCATAGTCATAAAAATCTATTTTTATGCACAACAGTGAAAACACCTAAAGAGGAAGATTATGTCAATTATAACTTAGTTTGCAACCTCTGTGGAGAAGACCAGCCTCCTGAAAGAAACACAGTTTAGGTTACTGCTCTAGAAAAAGAGGTGCTGTGCCCTACTTTTTCTCAGTGATGGTGCCATGACACTTGATACTGCATTGCATTGGGCAGAGATGTACCAGCACTACAATTACTCACTTACTCAGCACTATATTCCCAGTTTTGTGGAAGTCTGAACAGAATCTTTAAATTTAGGAAGCACAGTGCCTATATCATGCCATAAAGGAAACATCAGGCTTGATTCTGTGTCTCTGAAGAAGATAATTTTGAAGCCACCTTTCCTTTAATAGAGAGCTTAGTTTTTATCTATGTGCTTTTCCTTTTCATAACTGGAGTAGGAGAGTGTCCCAAGAAAGAAGAAAAGCTTAAAGAACATTGCCGAATTCCTGAGCCCCTGAGTTTGGGAGATGTATATAGATGATGTCACCCAGCCAACGTTAGAAGGTTCCAAGAAAAAAAAAAAGATTAATTTTGTTTAGGCTTAAGCTTGAAGACTATAATCTTCACAACACAAACCTTTCTTAGGCAATGTAGGGAAACATTGTGGTCTGTAAGATTTGTGTTAATAGCAAAGAAGCTTTAAAAATCATTAATATATCTCAATAATCTCTCTATAGACAAAAGGTGAGGATGTATTAAAGAATAAGGAAATCACATGCTCATTCTCCTCCTCGGAGAAACAAAAGCTCTATGCATATGTGAGCTAATAAGTAAAATCCTAATAATGCATCAAGACTATAAATATAAGACAGGAATTTCACTGAAGTTGTCGCACAAACATTTTTCACTTTTCCACAGAACAGCAAGAAGCCCCTGAAATAGCAGCTGTCTACTTTCTGCCCTTTGCAACCTTGTTCTAGAAGAAATGACTGCCTAAGGTGCAATCACAACACACTGTAGTGAATGAATTTGTCTGAAATTAATTTCACTTTTCTGTTAGGACATAGTCAGGGATGGACACTTTAGGAGGACTTACAGATCTGACTGGCTGAAATCAAAAAAGCAGGCAAGAAATGTCAGAGAGAAAAAATAACACATAAGTTCTATCTTTTTCAAGTTTTATCTAGATGATAACCAAATTAGACAAACCAGGTTAAGTAATGTCGAACAGGTAAATGACTTGACTACATTAGGTTGTCAAAACAGTGATCTCTCTCTTGAAGATGTAGAGCTAAAGAAAAAAATCAAACAGTGATTGCCAATTAGGTATGTAGAAGTCTGTTTGCATGTTATTTTGCTCACCAGCAGTAACAGATTCTTACTGTAGAATAATAGGTGTTAAATTTAGAAATTACTTACAACCTACTCTGACTTTGTAAAGAACAAGAAGAGTGGATGCTAACTTGATTTCTGGTTATCTTTTGCCAATATTTAAAAATTTAAAGGCGTATTCATGTAGCAATATTAAATCTTGATGAAAGGCACCATTAATTTATATGTTTTAGTCAAATTTTTACCATTGGACCAAAATGAACAAGAGTTCTGAAAGAATAAAACAAATTATACTCTGTCTTGGCTCTTCTTCCAAAATAATGTCTTAATATAGTGTCCTTTATTAATGTATGCAGTGACATTTTCCCTGTTGTTATTTTACTGCAAAATGTTAAATCTGATTTCAATTACTGCTTTCAGTTAATTTGAGATTGTTTATATTAAGAATTATCAATAAAAAAAACCCACAGAAAAAGTTGTAAGTGTAGACAGGAGAGTTAGTACATATCAAAGGTGGTTGGGCTTTTTTTGTGTGGTTTTCTGTTTTGTTTTTGTTTGGATTTTTTGTTTGTTTGTTTTTTCTAGTATAACTGGGCTCAGTTCCTTTAAGAAGGATTATAAAATAAGCAAAGTAGCTGTTCTGAGCTTGACTGCACAGCCCTGATGTCCTGGCCCAGAATGAACTTGACTGCACAATTTCTGATGCTTAACTTCAAAATGAATTTGACATAATGGAAATAAGAAGAGCCTGCAGCTTATACAGATGTCTGTCTCTTTTGCATGGTGTGGCAAAAAAGTAGTTCCAAAGCTTACAAACAAAGAGAAGAGCCACAATAAAAGACTGTAGTTGAAAAATACAGTCAAAACTAAACTAAGATGCAACTATAGTTCTCAGTAATTACAGTAATTGCCTTGGCATTCATTGACCCAAAATAAAGCATGACCTACTTCAGTTAATACTGAATCACATCTGAAATGAAAAATAAGATTTACTTTTGCATAGATAAAACTTTTCCAAAATTGGAAAGTTATATTTCTTTTAAAATATTTGAGTAGCCCATATTAGCAAAAATTAGTTTTATCCCAAATGGACTTGCTACAGTCTGGTTGTCTTCCATTGGAATGGGAACATGATTTGTATGTAGGTCAAATAGAGTGTGGCAGAATAATCTGGTTTATTTAGCAACTTCTGTATTTAACCCACCTTATTTTGTGGCTGTGCAGTGATTAAATGAACACTTGGAATGTCTGGAAAAGGAAGGAAAAACATATCCTTTTCCTGGGGAGGAAATACAAAGGATTTCTTTTCATTTATTCTTTTAGCTGTCACTGACATAGGATGATGCTTTTATATAGTAAATTAAATGGTGAAGAAAAGGCATTTTTTTACCATGGAACAAACAATAGAGCAGAGTTTTCAAATTATGTCCAAATTCTTTTATTTGTTGAACTCATAAAATAAGAGCTTTTGGCATTTGAAAAAGCAAACAGAAGTCTTAATAAAGACAAACGTCTACCACCAGAATTCCAACTGTTTGCATTAAGATACAAAGAACGCTATTTATCTGCCTTAACTTTGCACATCAACTTAAGTATTCTCAAGCACATTAATAAGAAATGAAAAGACAGCTGAGACATGTTCTCCAGCTGT